CCCTGAAGCTGAAGATGAACAGGGAAAAGGCACTAATTTAGTTATCTCTAAGCACTCTGGAATAGAGTAACGTGGATTTTGTAATCAAGACCAAAAATTAGGAGTTAGATGATCTGGGTCTACCCTTTCGCTTGCCAAGGAATTCACACAGCAGTAGGCTGTGTCAGTTTTATTCCAGCAAAAGGGGACTTGAATTATTATTCTTCCTCATGGGAATGTTTAACAATGTAATTGTCACTGTCCGTAAGAAGCTCATGTATGCCAGGAATACAGGCCAGGGAAATTCCTGCCCTGTTGAACATGTGCACTCAGAGGAGCTGGAGACAAGAGAAACCACTCTGTCAAAATCACATCAAAAGGAAAGAAAGTAAAAGGAAAAAAAAAAAGTAATAAATAATATGGGTAAGAAATTAGACCAGCAATAGCACCCCTGATAAATCAGGCACTATTTAAAAAGGTGAGACTTTGAGCAAACACACTTTACTACATGTTCCATGAAAGGAACTTTGTCAGGAAGAGAAATCAACATGGAAGAAAATCATTAAGTGCACAGATTGGGGCTCTGAACTGCTCTCTCCAAGTCTGCAAATCCAGAAATAAAACACACCATAAATCTTAATAAAAATATAAAGAATTCACAACATCAGAAATTAAAAAGCCTGTGTGTCCACATGTGCTGATCCTTCATCAGCCCTGCACAGCAGTGGGCTAATAGCCGCACTCCCTGCCTTTCTTTGATAAGTATTTTAAAAACAAACATCTTAAAAAATACCCTCATAAAACCCTTCTGGAGTATCCTGGCACAGCTTCAAGGTATCAGAGAGGCTCTGCTGGTGCTGGAGTTCCAGAAACGTGACTGTGCACCTCCAGAGGCATCTCCGTGCCCGAAATGGCAGCGCAGGAGGGGAGGGAGCAGGAAATGGCGTGAGAGGGGCTCTGGTGCCCTTCCTGCCATGGCGGGGGCAAATGGGCCGCACACGCCGCCTCTCGCTGCGCTTCCTTTTCCAGCCCAAACCAGGAAGCGCCAGCGAGGGGATTCGCAGGGAAAGCACAGTGTGAAATGAAGCACAAAATCAAATGGGTGGCCAAGCAAAAATTCAGGGAGCTGTGGGCACAGCCTGGTATCAGCAACTCTAGAAAATGCCCCAAAAGGCTCATGTAGTACCCAGGCTTTGCTCCTAAGCTGCTGAATCGTTAACCCAAAGGCTCCTGACATCAATGCAGGTTTCTTCAGGCTTTGGGGAGGACCTGCCTTCATGTCCTCGTGCCACAAACAGCACATTCCCAGGGCAGATCCTGCTGGCTCTGACTGCTCTGCTGGGTATTCCTGAGGCTTTAAAAGCAGAGCTGCTCCAGTGAAACCTGAGGTAGAAGCATTGGTGACAACAGCGCTTCAAAGAGATCCCATTTGTTTGTATTTGACAGAAGGCAGATTTGACAAACAGGCTTTGGTACATCACAGTGGAAATGGCTCCTAGATTTTTAATAAGTAATATATTCTAAATAAAATGTGACCCTGTGCCTCCAGGGAAGACATATGTAGGATGGTAAATAATTTAAAATAGTTTGGGATTTTCTGTATTCTAGACACTTCTGTGTTCTTCTGTTTATCATTAGCCAAGAGCAGGATAACATGGCAGCTTCATACAAACACTCTGTGTACATCTCTGCAAGACGCAATTTGGTCTCCTCACAGCCAAGGCTCCCTCCTCACTGCTGAAATACAAACTGGTGACAACGTCACAGACCATGTCGTTCTAAATGCAGAATTGAAACTGATTTCTTAGTAAGGCCAGTTAAGAAAAGGGAAACAAGCCTTCTTTCCTTTCTCTGCCTCTCAAGACTGTAAAATATGCCTGGGCAGGAAGTACAGTAAAGCTCATGATGAGCAGAGGCAGCTACTCTTTCAAAATGAGCAGAGCTCCTCCAAAGTGACATTTTCATTTAGCCAGTGAGCTTGAGGGCTCAGGGCAGGATACCAGAAGGGCTCTCCAGCAGATGAGGTTACTGGCCAGCCCTCACAGCTTCACACCTCCAAAAATCACAGCTGCAGGAAAATGGGAAGCCAGGATGGTACCTGTGGCTTTTGCTAAAGTTGTCTTTTCTCAGCCAACACAACCAGAGACTCAGTGGAGCAACAATCTGAGTGTGTAATAATGTCACTTCTTATGGGAAGACATTGGAAGTTGTAGAGATGCAGAAGGAAGCACTGTACACTTAAAGCTACTGCTCCAGAAAAGGTGAAAAATACCATTTTTGGACTCTAAACCCCCACACTGGAATCAGGGAGATAAAACATTGAGAATTACATTTGTCCCCATTTTCTTGGGAATTAACATGCAGCAAAAAGTGGCTTTTCCCTCATGCCCTGTCCATCCAGGAGAGCTCCAGATCCATCTGCAAATTCCCATCTTTCCTGAGCACAAACTCTGCAGAGGTTTAAGCTGCATCTCTTCAGCACCTTTCTGCTCCAGATTCTCCATCCCTGACTCCTGGAAAGCCCTTCCTTCTCCTGGACTACAGCTAAGCTGGTTACATGCAGAACCAGCTTTTATCCATAGAAAGCAGAACTGCTAAAAGACAGGAAAAACTGATTTTTAAATGTTTGGCAGAATCTCCTTGCAAAGCTTCCTGTATAAAAATGTGTCACAACACTGACAAAATCTCTTTTTAAAAAAAATTCAGAATGTTAAATAAATCCATACTAAGACAAACTTTACACTAAGCAATTCAGCCTTCAAAAAATGACAGTTAAAAAGAATTAAATTTTTTTTACAAACAACTCTAAAAAGCTAATTTTTGTGAACAAGAAATATTGTTTGAAATTTTAAGACAAATCACTGAGCAAAGAATCCATTAATATTTAAGATTTTATTCAATTTTCAAGAGCCAGAAAGGATTTCTGGAAGTCAGATTGATCTTGAAAGAGAAAAGCCACTTTTCTATCTCCCATTTTCAGAGTAACTTTCTTGTTTTAAATGGGGACTTCAAAAGTGGAAAAGTGTTCAGAACCCAAAACTCCTCTCTGAAAGAATGGACAACCCCAATAGAATTTGCTCAATACTCTCTTTTAACTTCTATTAGCGCTAACAACAGTAACTTGCACATTCATATTATAATAGCCCCCTTTAATAAATCTCAGATATATTTTGTATTTGCCATATTTTTGTTAGCACATGCTCACCAGGTTAATTTAAATGTATCAATCAAGTCAGATTTTATAGGAAGCAATTTTTATTAGGTCCCTTGAAAATTTAATGTGATAAAAACAAGATCAGCATTTCAAAGTTAACCTCCAAGATAAGATTTTGCCATTAAAAAACTCCTACCATGCATATTCTGTTATTAGAAACAACATCAGTGCATGGTCAAAAATGCCAGAAAGGACAAGACCTGTCAAAATTAACAATTAGAAATCTCCTTCTGCAAGACAATAGTGTTATATATGTTACCATCATATTTAATAAATATTAGAATTATTAAATATTTTAGAAGGAGACAGCAATTTTAATTTTATTTCCTTTAGGGAAAAAAAAGATCTGATTTGTCAGCAATGTTCAAAGTCTATTTCTGGCTCAATAGCCCATGATGTAGAATTAAGTGTTCCACTAGATGGAGCAGGATGGTAAAGCCATCATGAGGGCCACCTCCCCTGTTGATCCATAGAAAAGTCAATGTCCAGGGATGACAAGAATTTCAGCTTTCTTCTGTGCATTCAGGGCAGAAAAAGGGCAACACAAAACCCTCTTAGTGCTCCACAATTTCCTTCTTCCCAGCATAGAATGAACAAACGCTGACCAGAAACAAACCCAGCTCTCCCTCACTCCTATCAACTTTCCATCAGAAGCACAAAAATGGATGCTTGTCTGAAAATGAAAATCTTTGTACTTCTTTATTTTGTAGCAAGTGAACTTGCAAAAAGCTCTATGCCAAATGATCAAACATTAGTCACTTAATGCAAAAGACATCGTTACACATCAAACAAATTTGTTCTGGAAACAATGGCAAAACTTCAAAGAGGCTCCTACAAACCTGGAGCTGTGCAAGGCACAGTAAAATTATCTCTCTTGTCTCTTTTCAAACAGAGCTAATTGTTGATTTACCTTTAAGTCTACCTAAACAAACAAACAAAAGAAGAACCTAACAGATTTTACCTCATGAGATGTTCTTTAGGAGATGCAGTATTAGACAAACTGCAGTTACCATCACTGTGTGAAACAAGAAACCTTCATTTTCTTGACCTTATTTCAGCTTCTCCAAAAGAAGCAGAGAGAATATAAACTAACAAAGAACAGTTTTAACCATTAATATTTCAAATTTAAGTCCTTGCTTCAGTATGCACGACAAAAGTACCAGGAATGGTCACAATTAACTGGAGCACCCTGCCATAAAAAATCCTGAGGCACAGTATATTGCTGGATGTGATAAATAACTGCAAACATGCAGCAGACTCTCAAGACAATACTAATTATCCCAGCAGTATAAATACCAGAAGAGAATGACTCTTTCTCAGTTATGTGCATGAAGGCACACAAGCAGAACTCTGGTGACTGATCACAGGCTGCTTCCCGTGACTGTCACTCCCATCTCTTTGTTCCCAGCTAAACAAACTGCACTAGAAACCAAAGTGACAAACAGGTTTGCTTCTCACCAGCATACACTCCAACTTACTGCAACTTGTGCAGCACCAGAAGCTGACATCTGGAAAGGATGGGCCAAGTGGAAGAGTCAAGAAATTTGGCCTTGCAGACAATAAAAATGTCCCCTTACCAAGGGGTCTTATTAAAACCTTTTGAAAGCACCTGTAGATGTAGATATTGATGTAGATATTCCACTGTAGATACTGTCTAATTGAACACCAGTTTGTCCCACCTCTCTGAACCACTGATGACCAAGAATTCATTATGCACCACACACTCCTTTTCCAGGGATCAGGGAAAGCATCAGGACACCAAAGCAGTCCCCAGCCCCAAAGGCAGGGGCAGTGCAGCAATACTCACTACTGTGCACAGTCAATCAGCTGGTACTCGTTGGATCTCTCGTAGCAGGCTTTCACACCTTCGTCCTGCCAAAGTGTTTTTGTGTGTTCGTAAAACTCCTGAAATGGAAAAACAGTGTTATGGGAATGGGTTAGAGATGAAGAGAGTCAGCAAATAGTAATGTGTCATTTTGTTTTGCAACGAGCAGGAAATGGAGCAGATTTAACAAAAATCTTTAACCAATGCTTTAGAAACTGACTACAAGTTCAGTTGGCTTTCTAAGTTTGACTTCAACATTTCGTAACACTTCAAGAACTGCTCCTCAATCACTGATTGAATCCAACCATCCACTGTAAGAAGGGTTAATATCTCATTAATATCAATTTCATTGGCAATTTAATAATCAGTGCTATTTGGTAACATTTATTCTTTAACTCGTGGTGTCAGTGTCACTGTATTTTACATTTATGTGGCTGTCGTGAGTTTTTTTTTCTTCAATGAAACGCTACTTCTCTATAATTCCTACATGAATGATAATTAAGTTTTACATGACTTTGCAAGCTAGTGAGGATCTTCAGGGACTGCACAGACATCTCTATCTTACTTTGTACCACTTTTGTAAAGTTATTCTTTTACAGTGTAAAAAGACATTGAACGACAGAAGAAAGTAATACAAGGCTAGATCATGTTTTGTCTCAGCCTTAAAAGCTGTAAGCCAAGATATGAAAGCAGACAGCCAAAAATGCAGTGCTTCAGTTTTGCTGAACCTGTAACACAAGCTAACAACACAAGCAAAAGCTCTTTTCATTCTGCATATGAAAGCTGCACTTTGGCTCCACCAGTGCGTGTGCAGCACAGGATTGAACTCCTGGCCATCACTCTGAGAGCTCGGAATAGACTCAGAAAGAACAGCAGCAGCCTGGTGACTAACATACACACAGACACCACTGTGGGCATTCCTCTTATCAACAGCCATGGGTGTTCCTTGGCTAGCTCTCAGAGCTTTCAAGTGTTTTGGGTAAAATACTTTCATTCTGGTTTTAAGCGGCAAATAATTAATTTTTAAAATCCAGACCAGTGAAAGACCTTTAAAAATAGTTGTTGCATATATTCTGTGTCTCCCCACCCTTTTTCTTTACAGTATAATTATTTGTAAGAAGGAAAATGTGTTATTTTTGCTGCTTCAAGGTTCCTCCATCTCATGGGATATCAGTCTTTCACATTCCTTTACTATCAATTTAATTACAAAGAAAGGGGACACATTCCAAAGTTTCAATTTAAAAAGTGTTTAAAAAAAGAATTTACATTCCTATCAGAATCTTAACTGACACCTGAGCTGTACCAGAACAGTAAATCCTTTAAATTGCATCTTAAAGATGTATAGAAGCACCTTACAGTAAATTTAGCGCTGCTGATTTTCAGAGCACCCTCTTCTTGGCAGGTATAAGATGCATATGTGTTTGTGTGATCACACAATTGTGAATACCAATGATGCAAGCAGCACATCAGATGCAAATTTGATTGTCCTTTTATTGCTACTGAGTATTCCCTTACTGCACACACACAAAAACGACAGCAAACACAAAATACACATCTACATTTTGTTCTGATTTCTTTTAAAGAGATTATGACATTTATATAGGGTATTAGATGTCAGCTTGTTCCCTGCTTTTATGACCTGTTCATGATCAAAAAATAGATAAATTTCTTTCAGAAGTAGGTAAGAAGATTTTACTTAATTTTTAGTATTTACAGATTGCACAACTGTTTGCTTTTGCTATTAAAGGAAATAGAAAATTAATCAAAATCTTAATTTCAGTCCTCAGTTTTCTGTCTCACACTGCTGGAATTATGCTCATTGGATAACTTAATTTTGAAGATTTCCAATTTCTTGGCAACTGGGGGACTGTCAGTAGCCTTCAACTGTATTAGAGCACAGTGAGGAAAATATCTTTCTAATGGAAAAGGGAGAAGGAAAAGAAAGTGAAGGAGAGAGGGGGAATTATCTGCCATCTCACTGTATCTGAACCAAACCCACTTTGGGGAATGTTTCTATATTTGTTTTCAAAAGTAACAGTTGCTCAGTACAGAACATCATATGGCTCACTCAACTTATGCCTACAAAGCTGGGGAATTGAAAAATGGAATCAGCAATTGTACAAGGTTTTTTTTTATGAAATAGCAGTTGATTCAATAGACAAATCACAAGGCAATGATAAGTTTACAGAAAAAGCAGTAAGACATTCTTCATTACCAAAAAACTAGATAGAGATGCAAAAAAAACTAGATGTAGATGTAAAGTGAAAAAAGTCAGTGCTTTAATAAGGAAAGTCACAGCACAGTAAAACTCTGCCACAAAACCTCTTCCTAATTACTGTTTCTCACTACAACTGTGACACTTTGGTGGAAAGCCGATGTAAAGCAATTATTTCAAAGACCTTTCAAACTCCATAATGTCTTACATTTGCAGTAGTTTCTGCAATCAGATCTTAAAATGGGATGAAAAAATAAAACCAGTTCCTGGCCCTAGCATAAATATGTTGATAATAGAAAGCCCAGGGTTTAGTTTAGCAGAACAGCCACATATTGTTTAGAAGAGTCCTCCCCATGTTCTAAGGGCAGTTTTCACTTCTAAGAAAAATACACAAATTACAATAATGGGATAAAGATCAGTGTTTGTGCCTTGTTTGGCCAAATGAGCAAATGAAATATTTAAAACTGCCTTTATGCCTGTCCTGCTGATCTGAACTATAACCAGCAATACTCAAGCAATCTTCTCAGTATGGTTATTAATTGCCCATGTGGGATGGAAAAAGAATTCAATTCCACATTCTTTGAACTTCTTATTGGGGTTTCAAAATCAGGATCGACAAACAAGCAAAGAGCAATAGATCATTATACTAAGACATGGTGGGGCTTCTTTGGGATGGGTTTTTGCTGTTACTTTTGGTCTCTTTTTTTCTTGTTTGTTTGTATTAATTGAGTTTTAAAAAGTGAACTACATGACTTGAGATGGTCAAATATGAAAGCCTTTCATTAATACACAAGCTTCTGTCTTTAGGCCACATCAAATACATCTTCACACATGCTGGGACTAATGCTGAGCCAGCTCACAGGGCTATGAACAGGAAGGTGCTCACCCAAGCAGAGCCAGAACCAGCCTTGCAGCGCTCATCTCCTGCTCTATTAGAAGCCTCCTTACTGCAGTGACTGATTTTGGAATTAAGGCATAGTAGCTGGTTGCAAAAAACCCAGATTCTCCCTCCTCTCCAGTACACCTACACTAACCACAGCTCTGAAATAATATTTAAGAAAAGGAATAACATAAGAAATCCTCAGCATCCCATTTGAGTCATGGAATGTAGCCTGGGGCTGCTCTCAGGGAAGGCAAGTAAAACTACAAGATCTGTTATGTATTTAGGTAAAACAGGGGCTTCAGAGGCCACTAGAAAAATCAAGTTAGCAAAAGGGTTGGGTTGGCTTTTTTTTTTAGTTAAATAGGTATAATTTGTATGACAGCTCTAAAAATAATGAGTTAGGAAACAAATTAACCAAAAATAGCAGGAAAATTTCCTGAAAAGAAATAGCCAGAAAACTAGTCCTTACATGTCTGGTTCTTGCTTCTACAACACTGATTGATTTGCTGGCACATGCTAATATGACAGACTCTACAGCAGCATCAACAAAGGTTTTTCCTGCACTAGAAAATGGAACTCCTAACAAAACAGCTAAAATAAACAAATACTAAATAACAATTTGGTTTGAGATGACATTCCACAACAAATAGGATTTGAATGTTAGGATTCACATGATCCTAACATTCAAATGTACTTGCAATGTATGATCGTATTATCCATTCTTGCCCTATGCATACTTAAAATTGAAAAAAAATCCAAATTATGTAATTTTTTATTTAAAAAAATAAAATGGTGCAGTGTCACAATACACACCCAAGATCCTGTTTAAAGTACAGCTGAAGCTGTGTAAAGCAACAAAAGTCAACACAAGTGGTGACAGGATGGCACTACCAGGGAAGGTGAGGAGTGAATTCCTCCTGAGCTTTATGTCAGGACTGGAGCATTTATTCACCACCAGAACAGACTTTACACATCCCAAAACGTTCACAAAACCCTAAAGAGGGAGAAATCCTTGAGGAGAACACTCAAGGAAAGGAATGTCAATGTAACACAGATCTGAAGAGAACAAACAGGACTGAATCTGCTCAGGCTGGGCAGGGGCATAGTTTGAATTCCGGGCACAATCCCCAAGAACAGGCTCCACTTCTGGGAATCCATAAAAAGCCCTGAGAAAATCCTCTGGCTGAGTAAACCTCTGGTCCTGCTCAGATAACTGAAGGATCAAGGACCATGACTTGGTGCTGCTGAGGACACCTCATGTCTCATGATACCATAACACCAAAATGGTTAAAAAGCCACTTCTATACGAAATGTGTTTCATTATTAATGTTTTATTTATGAGGAGACAGTTTCCCCACCTACTGAAGGCTTCCCAATACAGTGAGTCAATAGGCAACATTTGTAAATCACTTGCATTCACTTACAGGAATCTCTGCAGACCTCTAGAGAAAAAGAAACATCAGTGGAAATGTGGAAGGGATGCTTGGAAAATTGTTCTTTGTTCCAGAAACATCTTGCTATCTTGCTGACACAATTCTGGATTAGAAAAGGGGCAATGCAGAGTCTAATCAAGTTTAAACCTACTTATATTGGAAAATTTCAGCAAGCTGAATAAATGGCAGCAGATAAATAGTGGCTTTGATCAAAGTTAAACTACAGAAAGTGTTAAAGAACTTGGGGGTTGAGCACTTTGGTTGTTAAATAAAATAATCCCCAAGAGACAAACTCCAGGCCTGGGAAAAAATAAAGGAACCAAGATCTGCTTTTGAGAAGCATTCTAAAAGGATAAAATACTAGGAGAAAGAATATAACTGGTCATACTGTCTACAAGGCTTTGTTCCCTCCAGATACATAAATACTCAAGAGACAAAAAAAATGGTCATGAAGCAATGTTTTATAGGCATTAGGATGTTGGCAGGGAAAAACACTGGCACAGCCCAGGCCACTGAGACACCAAATTCACAGGAAACTTAGCACAGACA